AGATTTAAGACAAATTATAAATTAAATGTGTCCTTTTATTATTGCTTGGACAAAATACTGTACGTTTCTTTTGTGAAATTATGCATAAAAATATCTGCATGAAACCGAAACAGCTGGCGAGCTGAATGAGACGCAGATTAACTCTCTGCCAGCAGGTGGCGCTTAAAGCGTTTCCTTGGTTTCCGCTGTAAACAAAGCAGTGCTGCACTTATGAACTTTAATATGCATTATACAGAGGCAAGAGGAAAAGAAAAAATACCATCGAAAGACAGTAAGTTCCCCTCAGACATACATTCATATAAACTCCTGCCTCTGCCTGAATCGCAATTTGTTTAGCATCTCAACCGATTTGAATCGTCACATATTTAAATTGATTTTCAACCGGCTCGCGGTTAATCGTTACATCCCTAAAAAAAAATATATGTTTCAATTAACCCCAACAGTTGGGTTTTCACATTAAATAAATGCAATGTTTAGAGTCTACTAGAATCAAGTGTTAAAATTGTATTATTAAAAGTTATTAATATAAAAAAACATTTAAGTATTAAAAGTACTCTTAGAAATGTGTAAACAACAGATTTAAACAGACATCTCCCTTTTTTTAAAGCAAAAGTAAAGTGCAACATAGAGTGCAAGAAGCAAGTGTCCATCTTATAGTCCAAATCACTGAAATCAAATTTCTGGATTATAGTGTAAGAATGACCACGTGTTCTGGTCTACTCATAATAAAATATTATAATTAATAATTAAGACATTGGAATTAGTTATAATTCTAATCTACTCAGTTGATATGTTTTATTAAATAAATAATTATAACACTTAACTTGTATAGGGTCAATATACACACTAGCTTTCGAAAGTTTGGGGTCTGGTAAGATTAAAAACAACAAATTGAAAAGTCTCTTATGCTCACCAAGGCTGCATTTATTTGCTCAAAAATACAGTAAAAAATGGTAATATCGTGAAATATTATTACAGTTTAAAATAAATGTTCTCTATTTTTTTTATATTTTAAAATGCATTTATTTACTGTGATGGCACTAGGGCTGGGGGATATTTCCGATTTTATAGATTAATTCGAATTTAATGTTTTGCCATGATTTTATTTTTTATAAAGTGAGGAATCACGATTTTGAATAGAAATATTACCAAACGTTAGAATTAGACACTTTGACAATATGCCAAAGTTAACAGTAAATAGAAAAGAATGATCCAACCGCATGTCGGCGCACGTGATTAACCGCTCACGTGTGACGTGCTCTGTGAAGGACCATAAATATAGGCGAAGTGCCATTCACACAGAATGCGCTTTTGTGTTGACAAAGTATAAAATAAATATAAGGTTATTGCACATTTTTATTGCATAATGTGGGAAACTGTTCATGAGGTAGATTGCCTGCGGGAAGAAACTGTTCTTGTGCCTGGCTGTCCTGGTATTTGTGGCTCTGAAGCACCGGCCAGATGGCAAAAGTTCAAAAAGGGGATAACTTGGATGTGAGGGATCCAGAGTGATTTTCTGAGCCCTTTTCCTCACTCTGGATGTATACAGTTCTTGAAGGGTGGTCAGGGGAGCACCAATAATCCTTTCAGCAGTTCGAACCGTTCTCTGTAGTCTTCTGATGTCTGATTTTGTAGCTGAACCAAACCAGACAGTTATTGAAGTGCACAGAACAGACTCAATGACGGCTGAGTAGAACTATTTCAGCAGGTCCTTGACTTTTGAGATTTTCTAGAAGAATTTTCCTCGTATTATTTCTGAACACATAATATGTATATGACAAGTTTGTACAGTATGTAGTTGTAGTTTTTGCATCTTTTCTGCAAAGATATTTAACAAGTGATTTGTTTAACATTTACATCATGTTGACAACTTCATGTGTGCTGCACTTGAAATAGAATTTTCTTTAACTAGAGGGTTAATAAAGAAAACGTAACTTGAATCATGTTGTAGTTACATTTTCAAGTTGACTAGTTAAAAATCGTAAAAAATCGAGAATCGGTCAAACATACTGGAAAAATCGAGATTTAAATTTTTTGCAAAATCGCCCAGCCCTACTTAGAAGATCCAAAAAAAAAAAAGGTTTCTGTAGATCTGAAAAAGGTCTTTAAAAGTAGGGATGCTCGATATTAGATTTTTGCCGATATCCGATATGCCGATATTTTTCAAATCATTTTGGCCAATAGCTGATACCGATAACGATATATATTTCCTTTTGTTTTGAAACAACACTAAGTCTCTCCTGTGCGAAAATTATAAACAATTTATTTTTAATTTTGGTTAGTTTTGAGCAAAAACTTATTTGTTAGAAGTAAGAAACTTTATTAAAGTTCTTTTTTTTTTTTTAATGAAAGTACATTTGAAAGCCTTGAAAATAAGCAGAGGCTAAGCAGTGACGCGATGAGAGACTGCTTCAATGTTACCTCATGTCTCATTCACCGCTGAGAAAACATTACAGTACAAAGCACATAATATTACAATAATAACGCCTTCCATTCTCGCTCGATCTGCAATAGGCGTATCATGTCTGCGTGAACAGGGTGCACAGAGGTATGCAAATACATACTAAGGTCCTACGCCTTCCACAGACATAAGTACATTTAGACCACTTAACTTTGTGATTAAGTGGATGTGAAGAGACTTTCAACCAGCATGACATTTTTTTTTTTTTAACCAGATCACCTACTCTGCCTTTAAGTAAACTAGTTAATGATCAAGTTGAAATTGAAAATAAAGTGTCAATCACATAAGCAATAAAAACTGATTTCAAATCAGCACAGTTTCTTCTCACGGCTTTAGTTTCTTAAAGTTGAGTCCGGATGTTGGGCGTAACTTGACTCCGGACGGTGTTTATTCCAGACACGTACGAATGCCGTCTCTGTTCCTGAACGAAGGCAGAATGAAATCCTTCTTTCATTTGTTAGTGAATAAGCAGGATTCGGGATAATTGAAGACGCTGGGTGTGATTGGTGTGCATGTGTGCCGGCCTGTGTGCGAGGTCTGCAGGGGCCTGGCACAAAGTTTAGTACAAGGTTTGGCACAGAAACAACGCGCCCAGTGCCAACCATATGGACCATGACGCCGGAGTGGAGAGACTGGCCCTTGTCCACCAGAGAGGAAAATCTCTCCACCATTTCTGAACTCCTTCAAGGGGGCGCTTGTGTTCTTTAAGAAATGTACCAGTTTTGATGTGTTTTCTTTCCCTTTTGTCTTCTCAGGTTAACAAGTAGTTGTTAATGAATTAAACTGATATAAAAATCAAAGTCTTTCTAAAGCAGTGTCAAGAATTCATAACTTGGAAAAACTTGAAGCAATGTTTACTTAGCCTAATTGAGAAAGATTAGAAGAGTACATGCATTTTTAATTTAATTGTAATATTGTTATAATTATTTATAATTATTTTGGAATAATTATTTGTGATTTTATTAATGCATTTAATTATTATTTTTATTTATTGATTATTTAGTTTACAGTGGAATGAAAACTAAATACATCAGATTCATATATGCTCAATGTGTGTGTATATTAGTGTTGGGCGGTGTGACCAAAAATTTATATCACGGTATTTTTCAAAATTATACCGGTTTCACGGTACATGACGGTATTTTTTTTTTCATGCATGACCGGGTGTTAACCATATTTTCTACTGATTGAGAGAGGAAATACTGCAGTATATTGACTTAGAATGCCCTATTTTACTGTCATGATGAGTGAATATTGTCAAAAAATACCACACTAAATAGTGACTAAACACGACCCCTTTTAATGTTAACCAGGAGTCACTCTCATTTATAATCGCGGCATTGTCTGATAAAATCAACATGCATCTACACTAAAGAGTGGCTATGCGTTTTTTTTGGCTATATTACTTTGTTGTCTCATGCAGTGCACTGCCTGCGTCTGAGTAACAAACAAAAAAAAACCAACAAACAAAAAAGTGCATGTGATATGAACTACGCTCATATTTATAATTCCAAACAATCAGTAAGCGACAGGTGCTAGGAAACGCTGTTTTGTACTCATTTATTGACGAGTCGGCTGCGTTGCGGCCAACTGAATGCGCTGCTTCTCTGCCGCTCACTGCACAGAGCAGACGCCGAGAGAGGTGACACTTCTCCGGGAAAGTCAGACCTCGCGTTCGCGGGACAGCACTGGCGAAATCTTCCAACTGAACCATAGCTAAGGTTTATCCAAAAAGGTTTGTCAGTATGAATAATATATTATTAGTATAAATAAATATAACAATATTAATATTTAACTTTTTTAAATAAAGGGCTTTTTTCAGTGGCATTTTATTTTGGAAAATGTATTTATTAGTACATTTTATTATTATTTATAGAACACGGTATCTTATTGTAATGCTGTATGATTAGCAGTGCTAAAATAACTGGTTTCTGTGTGAGCTGTGTTTTGATGGGTGAAATTACTTGTTTACTCATGGGGCTGTTAGTGTTAAAACTGAATATTACTTCGTCAAGGGGTGGTTAATTTTAGCATCACTTGGGGATCTACTTATACTCCTGGGCTTTATTGCCACAGTCATCTTAGTCAAAGAAAACTTCTGTTTGAAGCACGTTAACAGTGTTTACATGCGTTTACATGCGTTTAATAAACCGATTACACTTATTGAACTGACTGCACATATAAACATCCTAAACTGTGAGTTTCTCTGTTTCTCTGCCTGTTTTTGTGATTTCAGTTTCCATGTAAACAGCTTTAATGTGCTTGGATAATGCTTGTAATGGACTAATTTGTAAAACATGAGCTGAATGTATTTCTTTGTTAATTGTTTGTAAAAACGATAGATTGATATTATGATTTTAGACCCATCTTTAAATGTTAAACGCCCTCTTCTCTACCTTAAACGCTCCACCCATGTGTTTTGGAAGCGTGAAGCTTTGTTTTGGCTGCAGATCTCATTCTTAGGTTCATGTTAATGCTTGTTCGATCCATAACGATTATATCTTTTAAGTTGCATAATCGCTTTCTCTCTCTTTCTCAGGTGCACATTTCGGTTCCCCAGTACGAACATCAAGATCACGTTCACTGCGCTGGCGAGCGTCAAGCGTGAGAAGCAGGAACTGGAGTCTCCGGTGAAAGCGGTTCAGCCACAGATCTCCCCTTTAACCATTAACATCCCAGATAACATCGCTCACCTCATGAGCCCCCTGCCCTCGCCCACCGGCACCATCAGGTACAAACACTTTATAAACAACACACACCATCAGGAAACACTTTATAAATAACACACACCATCAGGTACAAACACATCACTAACGACACAAACCATCAGGAACAAACACATCATTACGAACACACACCATCAGGTACAAACACAGCATTACCAACACACACCATCAGGAACAAACACAGCATTACCAACACACACCATCAGGTACAAACACATCACTAACGACACAAACCATCAGGAACAAACACATCATTACGAACACACACCATCAGGTACAAACACAGCATTACCAACACACACCATCAGGAACAAACACAGCATTACCAACACACACCATCAGGTACAAACACATCACTAACGACACAAACCATCAGGAACAAACACATCATTACGAACACACACTATCAGGTACAAACACATCATTACGAACACACACTATCAAGTACAAACACGGCATTACCAACACTCACCATCAGGTACAAACACTATAACAACACACACCACCAGGAAACACTTTATAAACAACACACACCATCAGGTACAAATACATCACTAATGACACAAACCATCAGATACAAACACAGCATTACCAACAAACACCATCAGATACAAACACAGCATTACCAACACACACCATCAGGAACAAACACAGCATTACCAACAAACACCATCAGGTACAAACACAGCATTACCAACAAACACCATCAGGTACAAACACAGCATTACCAACAAACACCATCAGGTACAAACACAGCATTACCAACAAACACCATCAGGTACAAACACTTCATTACCAACACACACCATCAGATACAAACACAGCATTACCAACACACCACCAACGGACACCATCAGGAACAAACACAGCATCACCAACGCACACCATCAGGATCAAACACAGCATCACCAACGCACACCATCAGGAACAAACACAGCATCACCAACGCACACCATCAGGAACAAACACAGCATCACCAACGCACACCATCAGGAACAAGCACAGCATCACCAATGCACACCATCAGGAACAAACACAGCATCACCAACGCACACCATCAGGAACAAACACAGCATTACCAACACACAGCATCAGGAACAAACACATCATTACCAACACACACCATCAGGAACAAACACATCATTACCAACACACACCATCAGGAACAAACACATCATTACCAACACACACCATCAGGAACAAACACATCATTACCAACACACACCATCAGGAACAAAGCGTTTTTTTTTAATTACTTTTAATGAAAACAACACTGGCTGACTGTTAAGATATAATTTATAACAGAATGATATGAAAGCTTTTTTTAAAAGATTTCAAGTGCATTTGGAACAGAAACTGTGATGTTCTTGTTCATTTCAAGCTGGTGATTTTGTGTGTTTGAGTTTGAATTGCAGCTGCAGCTTTGTCCCTTTATGGGCTACTTTGATTTGATTGATTTAATTGAGTTTGGCTGCTACACAAATGAGGCAGTTTCCTGTTCTGCATAGAAAATTAAACTCCCTCCTTTCCTGCGGTCCATCTGTTTCCATCACTCTATTTCAGATGATGGTTTTGGAGTGTTTGGTAATACATTTCTCTGTCGTTTCTCTGTCAGCGCTGCCAACTCGTGTCCATCCAGTCCGCGTGGTGCGGGATCGTCCGGTTACAGACTGGGCAGGATCGTGCCTGACCTGCAGCTCATGAATGATAACTCTCAGTCTGAGAACGACAAAGAGGCATCAGAAGGAGACAGTCCAAAGGTAACAAAATTTCTGTACTGATAAACCTCACACTATCAGATGTAATAACCAGAGACATCTATAATACCAGTCAAAAGTTAGGAATTAAGATTTTTGTTAATGTTTTGGAAGGAAATCTCTTATTGCTTACCAAGGCTGCATTTATTTGATTAAAAATACGGTAAAAACAGTTAAATTGTGAAATATTATTGCAATTTAAAATAACTGTTATCTGTTTGAATATACATTAAGTTGTAATTTATTTTAGTGATCAAAGCTGAATTTTCAGCATCATTACTCCAGTCTTCAGTGTCACATGATCCTTCAGAAATCATTCTAATATGCTTCAATATTTTTGTGGAAATGGTGATCATTCAAATGTTTCAGGCAAGTGTGATTACAAAAAACAAGAAAGAAAGAAATTTAATATTTTTATTTAACAAGGATGCATTACATTGACCAAAGGTGATTTTATAATGTTACATTATTGTTGTATTTCAAAGAAATGCTGTTCTTTTGAACTTTCTATTCATCAAAGAATCCTGAAAAATAAAATGTCTCGGTTTATCACAAAAATAAGAAGCACAAATGTTTTCAACATTGATAATAATTAGAAATGTTTCTTGAACAGCAAATAATCATATTAGATTAGATTTATATTATATTTCTGAAGGATCATGTGACACTGAAGACTGGAGTAATGGAGTAATTTTAAATTGTAATAATATTTTACAGTTTTTTACTGTATTTGTAATCAAATAAATGCAGTCTTGTTGAACAGAAGAGGCTTCTTTCAAAAACATGAAAGCATTAAAAATATTAATTATTCAAAAATGTTGTTCTCAAAAAGTACTCTAAAAACTATTGATAGAATCTAAATTAGTTTATCTTAAAGGTCAAATCTTCTAATCATCTGTCTCTGTTTCTCTAGGATGACTCCAAACCCCCGTACTCGTATGCTCAGTTGATCGTTCAGGCAGTAACGATGGCGCAGGACAAGCAGCTAACACTAAACGGCATCTACACACACATCACCAAGAACTACCCGTACTACAGGACAGCAGATAAAGGCTGGCAGGTCAGTACCACACCGTCAGATCAGCTGAAGACGATGCTGTTTAAACTGAACAGACTTAATTTCTTATTTTTTTTATAATTTAGTTTATAAAAAATAACAAAATTACAAAAATAGTTACTTGCTTACTGTGTCTGTCAGAATCTATGCATCAGATGGATGACGATGTCACTTGACAGTATGAATGAATTCCTCTGTTTCAGAACTCGATTCGTCATAACCTGTCACTGAATCGGTACTTCATCAAAGTCCCACGCTCACAGGAAGAGCCGGGCAAGGGCTCATTCTGGAGGATAGACCCGTCATCTGAGAGCAAACTCGTGGAGCAGGCATTCAGGAAACGCCGGCCACGGGGCGTCCCGTGCTTCAGGACCCCGCTGGGACCCCTCTCATCCAGGTCAGGGTCATAGCACTGACCTTTAAGCATACAAAGTTCTTATCAATGTTGAAAACAATCATCCTGCTTCGTATTTTTGTGGAAAGTCTGAAACATTTTGTTTTTCAGGATTCTTTGATGAATAGAAAGTTCAAAAGAGCAGCATTAATTTGAGAAATCTTTTGTCTTTACTGTCCCCTATGATCAAATTAATGCATCCTTGCTGAATACAAGTATTAATTTATTTTGAAAAAATCTTACTGACCCCAAACTTTCGAGCGGTAATGTATGTAAAATGCATCCTGACGTGTTGGTCTCTGATGACAGGAGCGCACCGGCGTCGCCCAATCACTCGGGCGTTCACTCCGCCCACTCCAGCGGTGTGCAGACCCCCGACAGCCTATCACGGGAAGGCTCACCTGTTCCCATGGAGCCAGAGCCTGCCTCTGCCCCGCCCCCTGCTGCTGCTTCTGTTGCTGCCGTCCAAACCAAGCTAGCTGTGATTCAAGAGGCCCGTTTTACCCAGAATACCACAGGTACTCAAACATAAATAATCAAACATCCACTTGTGTTGATCTTTTACTCTAAGAAACTCATGATCTTTATTATAATTTTTTATTATTTGTATTATCTATATTGGTCTGATTTCAATAATATTTAATGTATAATTGTAGACTAATTAGGGCTCCAGACTGCAACCAAATGGTCGCATTTTGCGACCATTTTTTCTGCCGGTGCAAGTAAATTTTGTGGGCGGTCGCACTGGCGCGACCACCACGTTGTTCAACTCACGTTCCCATTTCTGTTGCATTTGAGAAACATCAAACGGCAAACGAAACAATAGCGAAACAAAATCCTGCTACTCGTTTGAGCTGCACAGCGCGGACCGTTTAACAGCTCGGACCACGATGCAAACAAACTTGTCTGAGCTCAGAACAGCTTTACTCGGGAACTAAAGTTGATTTCGCGACACTGTTGCAATTTTCAATGACTTACAAGCATTTCACACAACTGTTTCCAGCACTTTAAAGCTTCTAAATGATCCAATTTGAATGTTATTTTCAATGGGATGACCAAAATATACTGTGGTGAACAAACACTTATGTAAAATAAAAAAATACATCAAATCACCATTATAACTTGTAGATGACAGCAGAGGAGCACTTATTGGCTTATTAGTCATTCATTTATACTTTTTCCTTTATATTTTGAAATTATAAAATAATTATAAAATCACTATTATAAAATATCAAATCATCAAGAAATCAGATTTTGCCAGAGTTTTGATGTTTTTTGTGTATGAAGTAAAAACATCACAAAGTGCTTTGAAAAACAAACTTTTCTTCAATTTGCAACTAAATCACACATAATCACTTGTTGGTCAAGTAAGTTGTTGGTCAGTTTCATATAAGACTATAGAGGAATTATGGTACATCTAATAAGAGTACAATATATGTCTTTTCAACATAAAAATTAGATTTTGCACATGTTACTGTTGTTAATATTGCAAGTTATCGCAAACCCTTGATTGCAGTTGTTGCTGCTAAGGGTGGCCCAACCAGTTATTAGGTTTAGGGGGCAAACACTTTTTCACACAGGGCCATGTAGTTTTCGATTTTGTTTTCCCTTAATAATAAAAACCTTCATTTAAAAACTGCATGTTGTGTTCACTTGTGTTATCTTTTACTAATATTTAAATTTGTTTGATGATCTGAAACATTGAACTGTGACAAACATGCGAAAAAATAAGAAATCAGGAAGGGGGCCAACACTTTTTCACACCACTGTGTATATATATATATAGTCTATTTATTTTCAAAGCATTTGTCAGTAATACAGTTAAAATGGGGAAAATATGTGAATGATTGCATTGCAGGCTGATTTAAGGTGTGTCCCTAAATTTTCTGCTTGTGCTCCTAAAAATTTTCAGTCAGGGACTACAGTGCTCCTAGTAAAAATAGTTAGTCTGGAGCCCTGCTGATCTATTTTTTTATAATTTCTATCATTTTTATTTACTTAATATCAAAATAATCACCGATTATCGGTATCTGTCAGAATCTGTGCAACACTGTATATTAGTCTACAGCAGGGGTGGCGAACTTCAGTCCTGGAGAGCTGCAGCCCTGCAGAGTTCAGCTCCAACCCTAATTAAAACTCACCTGCCTGTAACTTTCTAGTAAGCCTTCAGACCTTGATTAGCTTGTTCAGGTGTGTTTGATTAGGGTTGAAGCAAAATTACAGGGCTGCGGCTCTCCAGGACCGGCGTTCGCCACCCCTGGTCTACAGTAAAATTGTAGACTACTCATTTAAATTTAATTAAATTGTATTTATTTATTTGTTTGTGTTTTTGTTATGGACCTTAACAAAAAATAATTACAGATTATCGGTATCTGTCCAAATCTGTGCAACACTGTATATTAGTTTACAATAAAATCGTAGACTACTTATTTAAATGTAATTAAATGTGATTTATTTAGTTGTTTATTTGTGTTTTTGTTATGGGTCTTAACAAAAACAATTGCAGATTATCGGCAGGGTTATTATAGTAAATGAAACCTTAAAAAAACATTTTTATTTCAAATAAAATAACATTTAAATGGAACAAAAAATAAAAGAAAAAAAACTTAGGTAATAGTTCTCATTTTAGTTTAAGCTTGATGAACATTACTGAAATAAAAATAAAAACTGTATAGACATAAATAATAAGAAAAATAAAATATTAAAACCTACAACAAAATTACTAAAACTTATATTTAAAATGGAAACTGAAAATATGAAATAAACAATTGTTTGAAATATTAATACAATCTGTAAAATAGGATCTCAGTGATACTAAAATAGCACTGCTTATCTGTATCTGTCTGAATCTGTGTGTCAATAGTGCATCAATTAGTTTACATAACGTCACTAAGTGTGTGCTTGTTTTCTCTCTCAGCGTCTCCCATCACCACACAGCCGGTTCTGATTGCAGTCCACCGTCCGTTAACGCAGACGATCAAACCCGTCACATACGCTGTGGCCGCCCCCGTCACGTCCTCCACGTCTGCGCAGCCGCTGATGCAGACGGTGCACGTGGTGCATCAGATCCCTGCAGTGGCCGTCAGTACTGTTGGCGGAGCAAACCTGCACCCCGCCATCAAAACAGAAACGCTGGAGAATGGAGAGGAGGTCAAAGGTGAGCGCTTGGGTCCAGGCATTTGACCTGGTTTGGGTTTCTTCAGATAATGTCAGTAACAAAATGTGTTCTGTCTCTTTAGTGAAGGTAGAGTCAGTTCCTGGCATCACTCATGGCTCTATAGGCTCAGCCAATAGGATCATTCAAAGCAGCACTGCAGCCACACCCCTCCAGATGGTTACCATAGTGCAACAAGCCCCATTGGGCCAGCACCAACTGCCAATCAAAACTATCACCCAGAATGGCACTCATGTAGTGCCCATCGCCACGGCGATACAGAGCCAGGCTAACGCAGGTATTCATTCACACATCTGATATCACACTAAACATTAATCATATCATTCCAGGATAGCAGAATTTGAATACAGATTTTCTTTTCTTTCTATTCATATTCTTTTTTTGGTTTTTGTTTCCCCCCATTTCATAACTGAAGAAGTCATGAAAATTGATGAACTCTTAAAGTCATGGGCATTTCAGTATTGTAGAAATATACAAGTGACATTTCTATATTATATTTCTATATTTACTGTACATTTCTATAGTGAATATACTGTAATTTTTTTTTTTTTCAAATTTCTCTAGCTCAGTCCATCCCAAAGTAAAAGCTCAAGGCTTTAACTCTTGAATGTGAAGAAGAAATAATAGTAGTGAAATTACAATACTTATGACTTAAATTAAAATAATTTATATATTTATTATTAAATATTCATTAACCCTTTAAAGTGAAGCAAAAGTGAATTCTAAAATCTATAAAGAAAACCAAAAGCTCAAGTCTTTAACTCTTAAAAGTGAAGAAATTAAGTTGGAAATGCTATAATTGTACTACTGTAAAGTAAAACAATTAATATACTTATGAAACGTTCCATTTTTTTTACAACTGTTGTTAACCCTTTGAAGCAAATCAAAAATTAGGCTAATTCTAATGTCAAAGAAAACCAAAAACTCAAAGATTAAGCTCTTGAAATTGATTAAATTAAGTCACAATTCTTATTTACTACTGTAAATTAATTGTTATACTTTTTATCGAATATTATTTTGCACAACTGCTGTTAACCCTTTTTAAGCAAAGCACAAATTAATTCTAATGTCAAAAAAGCTCAATGCTTAAACTCTTGAAAGTGAAGAAATTAAGTTGGAAATATTGTAATTTTACCAATGTAAAGTAATATGATTAATATTCTTATGAAATATATTTTTTTTTACAACCATTGTTAACCCTTTGAAGTGAAGCAAAAATTAATTATTTCAAAGAAAACCGAAAGCTCAAGGCTTGAAAGTGAAGAAATTAAGTTGGAAATGTTGTAATTTTACTACTGTAAAGTAATATAATTAATATTCTAATGAAATATTCATTTTTTTTTTTTTTTACAACCATTGTTAACCCTTCGAAGTGAAGCTAAAATTAATTCTGTCAAAGAAAACCGAAAGCTCCAGGCTTAAACTCTTCAAAAGTAAAGAAATGAAGTCATATGCATTGTAATTTTACTATTGTAAAGTAAAACAATTATTTATTTATTTTCACAACTGCTGTTAACCCTTTGAAGCTAAGCAAAAATGAATTCTAATGTCATAGAAAACCAAAAGCTCAAGGCTTAAAGTCTTGAAAGTGAAGAAAAGTAGTTATATATATTGTAATTTTACTACTGCAATGTCATATAATTAATAAACTTATGATTTATTTTTTTTACAACTGCTGTTAACCCTTTGAAGTGAAACAAAAGTGAATTCTAATGTCAAACCCCAGTGCTCAAGACTTTAACTTTTGAAAGTATACTTATTCATTTTGTTTTTACATTTACAGTGCAGTTGTTTTACAGTAGTATTAGTAATATATTTTCTTAGAAATAATAATAATGTTTATTAATAATAAGGAATCTCAGATAGCACAGCAACCCAAGACTTGAGAGAGGATTTTAATGTCAAGCATCTCTTTCTGTTTGTGTCCAGTGTCGAGTCCTTTACACATGTTGGCCACTCACGCCTCGGCGTCCGCCTCCCTCCCCACGAAGCGGCAGAACGGAGAAAACGGGAGCGAGCCACCGGAGAGCAAACGATTGAAAATCGAGGACGAAGAACACGCAGTCACCACCGACCCGAACGGAACCGCTGCGGACACAAACTCCACCAACCAGCACAACTAGTCACCCATTAACCACCACCACCACTTTCCCTCCCTTTATTCTGGTTTTCTCTTTTCCTTTTTCTCGTTCTCATCACGGTTTTCAATCCAGCAGCTCACGGTGCCAAAACTGAAGGCTTGGATAATAACTCTTTGAACCGAAGCAAAAACGTCAAAAAAGAACCAAATGCATAAAATACTATCCGTTACTGTCATTTTCCGCACCAACCCTTCTGCCTGTTTTCCGTTTTAATACTCAAACGCCTGATTGAACAAAAACTCGCACCTCGAAACACAAGAGCAACTGCCATTTGGTTTGTAACTGGGCATTTTATTGCAGACTTCAACAGAGGTTGGAGGCGTTCGATCTGCTCGGATTCCGTTCTTTGGGAGTCATGGTGATTTTTAGTGACTCGCAGACAAAATTGAAAGGAAAAATGCCCTCCGGATATGCAGATGTTGATCCGCTGCGGACTCAAAAGGATTCTAGAATCTCCGGAACTCGTGTGTTGCTCACAGCAGACTGAGAATTCCAGAACTACCGCTTGCGGAATCTGGATTTTTTTTTGGCGCTGATAGCGGAACACTGGCTTCGATCCAACATTCCAAAGTTTGGCAGTCCACTTACGGAGGGTGAAAAGCCAAGAGGATGTCCTGGAATGGAATTACACTCCATGAACCACAAATAGGTTGTCTTTTTTAAAATAGTGCATACTAGGGCTGTACGTGGAGCCAAAGGGAACACATCAGATATTCCTAAACTTTCGGCAGCTAGCCTGACAGCATCCCCCACAATCCCCTGTAGCCGTCGTAGTGGATAATATGCAGTATTTTTTCGTTCATACATGGAGCATAGGATCTGGGCGTGTTTTCATTTATAGAGACGTTTTAAAAAGTAATAATAACAATATATATAAGCAGCAGCAGCATATGAGCAGAAGTCTGTGTCCGTTTTCTGTTTTGTGAAACTAAGCGGTTTCTTTTCTAAGATGGCTAAAAATGTATCAGTGGAGTATTTCCTTCCTATGTTTTTCCTTTTCTGTTTATTTTTAAATCTTAGCAAAACTGGCTTTGTTACACCGACATATTTTCATACAGATGCTCGAGTGGACGTGTCATTTCCATGTGTAGTCGAACTGTTTTCATCCAGCTTGCATGTAACGGACTAGACAAACGTACCTGAGCCGCCGATGTAATCCAGGAAAAAAAAAAAACAAGATACGAGAAACTGCTTTGAATCAGACCAGATCTGCACTTGATTAGACTGTTTTTTTTTGTGTACTTTTTTCCCTGTTTCCTTTCCGTTTCGTTCCCTTTTCTTTTTAGGCTGTATTGGTGTAGGCCTATTCTGTCTGCTTAATGATTTGATTCTGGTCAGGCCGGTGAGTCTGACGGGTTATATGCGTTTCAAACAAACGCAAAAAAAATATGATTGATGTTTGTTCTGCTTCAGTGGGTCAATGCTTTTTTTTTATAAATTAATTTAAAACCTCACGCTTGCGATGTTCTTGTCTTTTCTTCAATTCAAAGTTCAAATTCAAAGGTTTTTTTAATGTTATTGAGGCTGGATTTAACTGGTAAAAATACGGAAAAAAACAATTAATATTGTGAAATATTAACGGTTTTCTATTTGAAATTGAAAATATTTTCAATGTAATTTATTCCTGATGTCAAAGCTGAATTTTCAGCATCTTTTCTCCAGTCTTCAGTGTCACATGATCCTTCAGAAATCACGCTAATATGCTAATTTGCTGCTCAAGAAACTTTTTTTTTTATATTGTCAGTGTTGAAAACAGTTGTGCTGCTCAATATATTTTTTATAAGTTAAAATGTTCTCAAATGAAGAGTAAAAGGTTTTAAGGGCTGTTTTAGTTTACACAGGATGTTTTCCAAATTATTTAAGTGTCCCAAAATAATGGTCTCATTGATGAGTTGTGATAGCCATAATCAAATTGCAGATTGCTTGAGGGATTTGGCAGTACATGGCTAAAAACTAGAAATGTGGTCATTCCTCAGATGACCACTTTGTGGCGCTGGTGTGTAAGCATTCACATGCAGCATGTAGCATTATTCAAATGGCTTCTTCTGTGTATGAGAAGGTACATTTCAAGTCATGTCGTCCTACAGATGATCTTAACACATGTGTTGTTGTTAATGTGGTCTAGATTTTTTAATGTGCACCGAAAATAGTTCAAACTTTAACCTCTCTTCATAAGATGGATCTCTAGAGAATACAGATCTCTTTAGCGCAGTTAGTAAATATGATTTGATTGACCTTTACGCCCCCCCTGAGGGGCTCGACCTCTCCTTGTTGAGTTTTGACCTCTTTATGGACTGAATTTGAACATGCATGATGGCGTCTAGACGCGCATCATCTACAGCCTAAGATTTGGTGCTAATCTCTGAGAGGTCTTGGAAAGCCTTAAAGGGATACTCCACCCCAAAATGAAAATTTTGTCATTAATCACTTACCCCCATGTCGTTCCAAACCCGTAAAAGCTTCGTTCGTCTTCGGAACACAATTTAAGATATTTTGGATGAAAACCGGGAGGCTTGTGGCTGTCCCATTGCCTGCCAAGTAAATAACACTGTCTAGGTCCAGAAAAGTATGAAAGAAATCGTCAGAATAGTCCATCTGCCATCAGTGGTTCAACCGTAACGTTATGAAGCGATGAGAATACTTTTTGTACGTGAAGAAAACAAAAATAATGACTTTATTCAACAATTCGTCTCTCAGCCGCGCTGCACGGATGCGCTGTTTTCGTTCAAATCAAAGCGTAAATACACGTAGAAAACGTATCCTTGTGTCACGGCTGACACAGAACAGCGTTCGCCGTTTGCGTTCAGCGCATAATCTCCAAAATGGCGCTACGGTGATGCGGAGAGACACAGAGGAGACAAATTGTTGAATAAAATCTTTTTTTGTTTGTGTGTTCCGAAGACGAACGAAGCTTTTACGGGTTTGGAACGACATGGGGGTAAGTGATTAATGACAAAATTTTAATTTTGGGGTGGAGTAACCCTTTAAAAATCACTTGAAATGCTGTTGCATTTGGATAAAATATCAAGACGGTTTGAAATGCTAAAACAATAGATGTAGTGTTGAACGTCAATATGGTTTGTGTTTGTCATTAGTGAATCATGTTGATGTGATAGTTTCACTTTTTCACATAGTTAATGAGATAAAACTAGGTTTAACATGTGAAGTTTGAACACAGGATCACCTCCAACCTAAACTTAATAAGGTGGTCATGTTTACCATTCCTCAGCAAGAAGGCGAAACGCTCTCATGCCATTCTACTTTATAGACCTTAATCAGGTTGGACGCCATAATGAATTTATCACACGCTTTATAAATGTCTTAGATCACGTAATTTTAACAACTCAGATTTTTCAAAATAGTTTTTTGCCGTTTTTGTTGACTGCATTTTTTTTTAATCAGCTGAACAATCATGTTGTTATTGAGCTGTGCTTCATATCAAAGTCCCTTTAAGGCAAGTCATTTCACTTGCCGGCCATCAAAATGCCACTTCAGTCATGCAAGCACAGCTCCAAACATCAAATTCTCTAAAGCTGTTCATCAAGCTTATGATTACATTTCATATTTGAAATCCGTTTCATAAACAACCATCTCATTAATGTTTCTAATAGTGTCAAAAAGCGTATTTTTTCCGGCCAGACCAGCCAATGCACATGTGCTGTCATAAAAGTGGAGATGGTCCTCACTGCAGAACACAAGATCCAGGGGGCGAGGTTGGATCCAGATCCAACTCCTTCCACCTTACATATACCTAAACCCACCCATCTCCACCCCTAAACCTACCATCTCCACCCCCTAGATGTGGATCCAACCCCGCCCCCTGGATCTTTGTTCTGCAGTGAGGGGCTACTGTAAAAGTGCGCGTCTCAGAACGCCGATTGTTTCCATCCACCTTTTTCCTACAAATATCATTATAGTAATATATATTTCATAACAATTACATTTTACAGCATCCATGTTAAAACAAACCTGGAAAGAGAAGAGACATGAGGATTTGGGGAGAAAAAGGAAAAATTCTTAGTGCATTCCAGGGAATTATTCATGGTTTATCGTAAATTAAATCGGAAGAGCAGACCACAAATGCACAGGATATGTTGTCTTTTTTCATTTACTTACAGCAAAATACAAAGAAAGCATGAAAATAATCAGGTAATGCAGTGGGCTGAAAAGAGCTTTTCTATTGTTGTTATAGGCTATCACGTCACATTAATATCCCAAACGTACCATCTGCTGAGTGACTTCTGAAAATAGAAAATTAATGAAAATTTTGAAAGTCCGTTCAGTCAAAATGACGGATAAGGATTATTTGTAGCGCAGTCTTATGATCTGAAATGATTTGTTCCAATCTTTTTGAGTGGAACTTGGTCAAACCGGAAGTGCCTCCCATAATTTAAAACACAGTATAGGAAAATGGTGGATGACTTTACCTATTAGCCATTGGCTCTTTTTTTTTTTTTTTTTTTTTTTTTTTTTTTTTTTTTGAGAAGGCGGGACTATTCCGCCATATTGTCATTCGTAAGTAATATGAGTGCACCGTCTTTGTAGATCTAAAGTCTGTGTTCGTAGTACGTCGTTACGCTTTTGACTATGGACGTTTTGCCCGCTAAATTTGTGACCGCGCCGCAGAGTTTTTAGTGAAGTGAATGTCTGATTGTTGGAGAACACATGACTGACAGATAAACATGAGAGGATGAACAGAGACGTTAGATTCAGCTATTCATCAGGGTCTAGTTTATTTTGAAGTTTTATGTTCAGCTTTGGATGACATACTCGCCTTTTCTTCATATTCGGCACGGTAACGCGCAAAAACATGCCTCATCAGTCAGCAGGAAAAGGCAGCAGCAGAAGATCAGAGGTAGTGCTGAAAGATAGAAAGCGAGACTGTGGGAGGTCAATTAAGGCTGTAATGAACACATCTCACTGAAACACTGACGTGGGAGGCGTTGCCATGGCGACCGGGCACTGAGTGATGCTGATGAGAGGAAACGATGGGAGCCCAACCTGAGTGTGTGTGTGTGTGTGTGTCAGACTCCTGCATCTGCCTCCATCACACCTTTTCAGACGCGTTTCCTCTAAATAAAGCACCTTGAGCTGAACCGCGTCCTGTAGTTAAAAAAAACACACCTGACGCAAAAGCAAGACGTCTCAGTTTCAAGGCCACGTACTCAAAGAAAAGCCGGACAGGTATCAGACCCATTTTATGCACGAGAGCACTTTGTGAAAGAGTCATTTTAGGTATGAATTAAAATGTATGCTAATGTGAGTATATTTTATCTCGAGTCATAAACTTTTGGAATAACACTTTTCTCTCTATTTCTTCATGCAGATTTCCAGTATGTGTGAAACACCCAGAGGACCTGCTAAGTTTGACAGAATGTGCAAGTACACTGTGGTATAAAGTATCCCACAATGCAACATGCTCAACTTGAATGCATAAGTACAAAACAAAAATATTTTAAGTGAAATCAGAAGAAAAACAGAATGCGAAGATATAAAATTTGTTATATTTTACTATATTAGAGTCCACCAGAACTCCAACAGCCATTTCACCGTTTGTATCACTCCGCTTGCCGAAGTTACCATATTTCTCACAGAGAGTGTCATGGCGGACACCCAAATCATGAAATGTGTCAGTTTCATGAAATGTAGTTTTAAGAGCATTTTAGGCGAGAACGTACTTGTATGGACTTCAAATATGCTCTTTGTTAATAAAGATAACATCTATTTGAAAATTTGCATAAATGTTTTCGGAGACGTAAGCTCCAGGATGTCAGCGGTCGTTCAGCGCTCATAAACCCGAGGAGGGAGCGCCTCATGTCGGCCAGATCTTCTGGAATCTGCCGCTGGCTCTGATGTCTCTATACAGGAGATAAATTTCGTTTTGGGTAAATCTAACGGGCAGTCTTTTGTCTCATTAATCTGTTATTTGATCCAGAGCAAATAGTTTTGGCAAAATCTCATCATGTTTATGTAATTTCAATGCTGTGTGTCAGAGCGCTGCCTTTGTAATTTTGACTGAATTGCCTAGCAACTTTTATGACGGCTGATATTGTTTATTTATTTATTTATTTTGTCATTTATTAGACGCTTTTATCCAAAGCGACCTACAAATGAGGACAACAGAAGCAATCAATTGTAGTATTAAAACAACTAAAAACAGATCAAAAACTAAAA